CGGCAGGCAATTTCGTTACGACCTGAGTCAAGCTGATCTCCCTGTGGCTACCACAATCACTACGAGCCCGTTTTTGGAAATGGGCTCACCAACTCCTCGAGTCAGTGTTTCACAAACCACCATAAAGTGAAGGACCACAAGTGACACCGGCAATTTCGTTACGACCTGAGTCAAGCTGATCTCCCTGTGGCTACCACAATCACTACGAGCCCGTTTTTGGAAATGGGCACTGTCACCAACTCTCCTCAATTGTCTGCCGCAGCTTCCTTACCCAAAATTCAAGCAAACAGATCAGACACGCGCTGACTGGGGACTTCAGCCTTATCTCTGGACAGTGCGAGTGGGAGGTCATATGAACCAGAAGCTCGGTGGTGCTTTGGAGAACATATGCAGTCGTACACTTCCGAAGACATAAGGGGTTCCACTTTCACCGTCCAGGGCTCTAAGTCAACTGTCGGCTCCCAATGAATACCAGCTGCCGGAGGCGAGATGGCTCAGCGGTTGGAGTGCGAATTCATTGACCGGAACTTCTGTGGTTCGAACCCGACCTCTGCCTATCGACTTCCCCTGTGTAGGCTTTGGCACCCGACAGCATCCCACTCCTCGTGCTTCCTTCTGGTAGCATGGTAGTGAGGCACCAAAAGGGTTCTACAGCTGGACGATTTTTTTAGCTGGTGGATAAGTGGAATAGATAACGTTTATGCTGTGATCATCATCATTGAAGGCAACACCAGAGGAGACCATTAGTGCCTTAACTCATCTGAACAAGGCACCATAATAGAGAGGTGAAAAATAGAACGGGAGGCGGACCTAGGTTTATTTTAATACAAACACCCTAGGTGCGAACACCAGCACATGGTCAGACAATCGGGGTGGTTCAGTGGTTTGGGATTGCATTTAGTGACCGGATGGTTTGTGGTTCAAACCCAGCGTCTGCATCTCGACTTTCCCTGTCTAGGCTTGGGCAACCTGGCAGTGTTCTAGCCCTCGTGCATCCTTCGGTTGGCATGGCACCCAGGCTGAACGATTATCTCTTATTGTTATTTTTAATAATATCGAAATGGTGCAATAGTTAGGGCGTGGACTTACTCACCGGAAGGCCCGTGGTTCGCACCCAACTCCGACATCTTGACCTCTCCTGTCCTGGCAGTATCTCAGCCCTCGTACTTCCTTCGGATAGCCTAGAGGCTTGGTATCGAAAGTGCATTACAGCTGAAGATTGTTATTCGATTTCGCCTGCAGTTGCCCAGTCGGATTCTCGACTCCAAATGGAGAGCTTTGGATGGTGGACTTGGTTTCGGAAATGCGCGAATTTATTTCCTTCCTGTAGTGTCGCCGTCCTGCTGATCCCGACGAGTATCTACCCTGTTTAAGGATGGAGGTACCCCCCCACGCATTATTTGTCTAAATTATTTGCCAATATTCGGATGAAGGAGATCGCCCCAACCTTTCCACTCTTATTTATGTTGACTTGCCTGTTTTCTGCCTTTTCTAATTACGGTCTTTCTTGCAGAATGAAGCAATGGATGATCGTCCTTTGAAAGGCGGTGGTGCTTACAACATTGATTGGGATGCAGCTAATGAAATGGCTGACCCGTTCGGCAAGGAATTCCCAACAGCTCCAACCAAAGCCCCCGTGAAAGTGGATTCGAAAGGGGACTGTCCGACGGATTCTCCAAATGCTGTGATTCGAAGTCCAGCTAAGTCTGGTTTCAAACCAGCTACCCCAGTGCGCACCAGCAGTGTCCCTAAACCACCTTCCGATCAGTCTTCTCCAATGCAGAATGGCACCGGACCGGAGGCCAATTCCACTGGGAATTCCAGTGCTCAGAATGGTTTCTCACATGAGGGGGAAGATTTGACGTCCAAGCCCAGTGAGTGACAATTATGTGGTTTCTTCCCTTGTCTTAAACCGATTTGGCTTAATTTGTTCTCTCCAGTATTGAAAGAATCATGTCCAGAATACCTATTTACAGCTGTCTTATCCCAACTATTCGGGAAGCGCTCCTTACTTGTTGACTTTGGCAAATGAAATCAAGTCTTCCAATCATATGATTCTTTTGATGAACAGTTTTGCAATTTTCGGGAGGCATGGTGAGTCCATGCAGAAGATTTCCAGAGGATAGGAGCTGATCCATGCTGATACTCTTCGTATTTTCCAGGAACTCACAGCCTACGTTCTGTGATGTGGTTACGTCATGCCTAAGTAGATTTGGTTCTTTACGAATAAAACGTAAAAATCCCTGAGTGGCGCATTCCTGTCGAGTCAGAATCCCACCCTTTTGAGGTTAGCCTAGATGAATGTGGATACTATGCAGAGGCTGGGGTGACTCAGAGTTTATTACGTGTGCTCATGGTTCAGGATTTCCCCTGGATGATCTGGTATTATCTAGACCTGCATGCGTTCGATGACTGTATAGCAACTGCACTGGGAATGGGTGGCCGAAAACGAATTAAAGCTTGAAACTCGCTCACTCTGTTACTGAACAGACTAACTCAGCTGCTCAACAGGACATAAAAACCGTGGTTGGTTATCGGATTATTGCGAATTTTCGAGGAATTGTAATGCGCTCAGCCGTTAAAACCATCACTGCATAGGGAAGCCCAACAATACTACCGTGATTAGGTTTATAAACGGTGACCAAAGTCATGTGGTGTGGGAGAACTGTATGGCTATTGAATTTGTGGCAAAGGTTGGAACCGATTGGTGGGTATCTAGTTGGTGGCGTTTGGGGGCGGTTATGTAGATAATCTACATGGGCTTCAAAGCTTATGTCGAACGGCTTGAGTGTGGGCTCGCTACTAGATCGATGGTTCTACCGTGCCTTTCGGCCCGATTCAGAAGGCAAGTTAGTCGGTTGCTGGTGATGAGTGAGCAGTTTGAGTGATTAGTTAACCTATTTCGCATCCGCGGCAGCTGAATACATTTCCGGTATGGCAGTATTCCGTGCGTCATTCGTTCCATCATAACGAATTCGTCATCTAGTTTTAATTACTGCTGCTGCGTCCAGTAAGTTAGCAGAAACGAGAAACAAATGCACATAGCTAGACTGCGTAATTTGATACCAGCATTTCCAAGATGTATCACACTTTTTTGTCTTCATTAGGCTAGTATGTTCATTCTTTCATTGTGAACCTGAGGTCGCCATACCTTTTAGTTCTTGCTTATGTTATAGGCGGACGGTTAACACTGACTGTGGCAGCAGACATAGGTTGGAAGTGATTGGCTTACGCACAGCGTGATACAGTTCCATTGGCTGCACTAGTCAAGGTCATTGTGGTAGATTCGGGCCTGTTCACTCTCATTTGAGGTTGCGACCATCACCTATAGACATAATTGTCCGTTTTGCTGCATCTTAGTTCGTTCATGTTTCCCACACACGATTTATCGCCAAGTGAGTTGTGATCCAATCACTCGTATTCGCCCCCCATTTGACATCCAGTCTAACCGATCCCTTTTCTACTTTAGCCCCGAATTCAGCTCCTTCACCGGAAGAACTAGCCGAAGTGAGTTTTCACAGACACACTATTCAAATGGTATCATACCCACCTTGTCACCCTAGTATTTTTATTGGATAGTGTCCTAATAAATTGCTTCATTTGTACGTCATATGTCCGTTTTTTGTGACTTGTTGGAGGTCGTTCTGTGGATCTTGAGAAGTCGAGCTTACTTGCGTTTTATGAATTTCCGGCGCACATGTAGGAGCTGTCGGTTTCCATAAGACAGAGTCTCTGCACAATTGCCGGTTTGTAGCACACATCTTCTCATTGTAGGAATCGAAAACTAAGAGATATTTTGGCACCTTAATTGAATGGAGATGGATCGAGATGGACCAAGTGGTTAGAGCGCGAATTTGCTGACCGGAAGGTCCGTGGTTCGAACCCGACCTCCGCCCTGTCTAGGCTTGGACAACCTGGCAGTATCCCAGTCCTCGTGCCTCCTTCGTGTGGCATGGCAGCTAGGCACCGAAAGGGTGCTACAGCTGAACGCCGTAGGTTGGAGTTGAGGCCCCAACAGACGGCACATCAAGACGCTAAACAAGTTGAATCACAGGTTTACGGACACAGAGATGATGTCTCACCAAGTCCTCCATCTACCTTTATCCCATCTGATCAAAGGACCCCCTACCCTTAGACTACCTCTTATTCAGAGCAGTCCAAAACAAGAGTTTGTCGTTCATCTGTTCATCATCCCTGGATTGGACACTGCAGTATCCGGGCGAAATATATCTTTTTGGCCATATGCCATCATCTTGCCATCGGTCGTGAATGGTGATGGTAGGTTAACAATGTATGACTGAGGTGGTCAAAAACAGTCGCACCAGAGTTCTTAACAGTAGTTCTTAGACAGTAAAACGAACGTGGACAAAAAAGCCCTTCCAGCTTTAGTTCAGGCGAGGAAGATTGTAGCTTCTGACATGTAGACTAAGTCAATCTTTGTATGACCACAGGTAGTGTGAAGACGACTGGTTTTCTTGGCATCCGCTACTAGCTGACGTCTCATGGGAACACTTGAACTGGAGATGGCAGGACAGTAAATTCTCTTTATTGTCGCTGGTGTTTGACGTCGAAAGTTGATTCCAATGATAGTTTTGTTAGTCGGTAGTTAATTCCTGGGCTTAACTATCTATGTCATCCACCCACCCATAAACACATGATAGGCAAAGTGGTCAGATTCATAGGGTGCATGGTTTCCAGTGGATGTCCTAAGACTTTCCGTGTTGACTATGTGAAAAACGGACCTATTTCTATTTCAAACTTCAAAACACATGTTTAGTGCTCTACTTGCCTCTGTTTCACCTGATCCTTTTGCTGGCCCGTCGTCTATGAATATTGAAACGGGCATCCTATGTCGTCCCTTTCGAAATGGAGGAGTCTGAGCCCGAATCATTATCTCCCCCTCCATCTGTGAATACTTTGTTCGGGGTGATTTAACGCCTGTTTCCCTTGTGTCTTTGCTGTGCATTGTTTATCCTCACCATACTGTAATAAACTCTCCAACTTTCTCTCTTCCACAGGCTTTGGAGCAAGCTGGTAAGTTGAGACTGTTGTGTTCAATTTCGCATCTTCTTATCAGTTTGATTTTCTTCGATTCGGGTAACTTGTTTCTCAGGGGGCGAGATGGACCAAGTGGTTAGAGCACGAATTTACTGACCGGAAGGTCCGTGGTTCGAACTCGACTTCTGCTTCCCGACTTCCCCTGTCTAGGCTTGGGGAACCTGGCAGTATCCTAGCCCTCGTGCCTCCTTCGTGTGGCATGGCAGCTAGGCACCGAAAGGGTGCTACAGCTGAACGATTATTATTATAATTAGGGAGCTATTCATCTCAGACGGGACCTCTGGGTGCTATGCAATTAGTTGTGTGCGTTGTTAGGAAGGCAACTGTTATAATTTTCTCCTACCGCAGGCGATCAATCAAAATAATCCATATGGATACTCTGCTTTTATTACTAATCGGCCCTAATTTGTCCAGTTTCTGGCCATTTGTTTAAGTGTATAATTAACGGCTCGGCACAGCATCACTTGGTTCGATGGAGTAGCCACCCCAGATCAGTTTTTGACTGCTGATGAGGTGAATGAAGAAACCAGTGCACGCACAGTGTCACGACATACTTCAAAATTTCCTTGAACAGATGAAATAACTTACCCAACCACTGGCCACAAACTAGTTCAGTTGAATGTGACATACCGACACTGAACTCCTGTTACTTCCTCTACAGACTGCACTTCGTCTCCGGTGGTGTAAGCGACCTGTTTTCCCGCTTCCCCACATGAGAGCTTCGTTGCCGGTAGTCTCGTACAACCACTTGGTTGTTCATTTCCGGTGCCGGTACCCAGCCATACCATTTACTGATAGAAGCCATTTTATTGCGTAGTTGAACAACGTGACTGCACACGATCGATAACTTGCTTTGACCTCAATCTTTGCTCACCTTATCACAGTTATGAGGAAGATTGAAGCATGTGCTAACTTTCCAGTCGACGCACTTTCACCGGTCGTTGTAAAATTTGTCAGTTATAAAAAGCCCGATCTGTTTCGAGACGTCCGGGTGTTTTTCTTAATTTGTTCTGACAGAAAGGTACGAACGTCGTTGTACAACTTGAAGACGTTAGATACCCCACTGGGCGGTTTGTTTTGTATCTAGGTATATAGGATTTTCTGTTCTCGACATTGTCGATAACGATACACCAACGGCAAATATTTGTCATACAACTATAGGGAATTGAAAGAAAAGAAAAGGTTTGTGTCTTGATTCAGATAGATTTTTGACTGGAGGTAGACCGATCATTGATGAATTCACGCTCTCAAGTAGGACGCAAAATGAGCGTATTCGAAAACCTTCCACGAATCGGGAAGCAAATATCTCTGGCAAAACTCACCTGATGCAATCTCAGCTAATAGCGATTGAAAAACTCTAGCTGAACAGTCTAACAAGGATGTGGACATCGGTCGCATGCAGCTGTCGTGCCTCTGTCTGGTGCAGCTTTGATAAATCATTCATTATGCACCCAAATTATTGGGATTTATGTTGGGCTATTCATGTTTTCTCTGATTCGAACGGAAAAAGTTGACTGAAAGATGGCTGCCTTACGCTGTTCCGGTTCCCAGTAGAACCAAAATTGAACGTCTTAGTCAAGAACGGTTTTCAAGTGATGCCGTCTACTTGGCGATATCGGGTGCATAAATGCGATTGTTGTCTACTGGGGTCTACCGGCGGTTTTGGTTTATTCGGAATGCGATACTCACATTCCCTACACAATCCTTGTCAATGGTGCCACAGGGTGTCTGATCCTTCTTGATGAAACAGACTACTCGCAAGGTTTCTGAAAGCTTTCGAGAAATACACTCATTTGCAAATCAATTTGATTTTTACGGGAGACTCAATTGAATATCTCGTTTATGATGTCCTCCAGCGGAATGTGCTGCACACAGGCCGCCTCATGATTCAGTTGGCACGATATTCGAGATCATAAGGTTGACGGAAACTCGGGGACTATGCCTACCTGATGAGCCCCAAGAAGGGTGAAACCGGTCGTGGGCTGTCGTTTCTGAAAGCTGTTTTACAGCCCATGACCGTTTCGTCCTCTTTGAAGCTCATCAGGTGGACGCAGCCCCCCGGGTTTCCCTCAGGTCTGTTCGAACACCTGAATAATGCCGAACCCAAGAAGTTCGAAGTAACGGAGGGTCGTCTGAATTCGATGCAGCATAGCATCTGACTTCAGAATTGGCACTGAGCCGTTCGCCAGTTTGGCTATTTCGTCATCAGTGGGATTCAAACTAGCGTATCACTGGCAAACAACTCGGTCCATCTAGTATATATTCGACGGTTTTGGCGAATATTTGTATCTAAGTGTAGTCTATGAATTCAAGTAAGATAGTTCATCTAGCTTTCGGGAAGAAGACGCAAGCTGGTGGGTATTGTAGGATAAAAATGAAATGAAACCGGCGTTGTGCTTATCACTGTTCCAACCACCAAAAAACTAGTTGCAATATTGATCTACCTAATGTGGGCTGTCTTTTAGGTATAGCTTTGGACAGAAAATGAGTTCCCTCAATACGCAGACGTGACCAAACAACATCATCAATGTTACGAGTAATTTAATCTTGAAAGCAATCATCATCATCATCATCAAAGACAGCAACATGAGTGTTGCCACGGATGCTTCACTGCCGTTGCAGCAATATTCAGGCTCTGTTCCATCCCTCCTGCTGCCTGAGTAAGGAAGCCTCATTTACACTACTTTGTGTCACCGTAAGCAATGGGAAACAACTCAGTTACTTCATTCGTTTGGTCTATTGATAACGACAGCTGTCACTCGACGTGATGTTTCTAATGACATCAGTGGTTCACCGGCCTACAGTTCTACAGTCCTTATTGAACATACACGGATCAGTTATTGTTCTCGGAGTATTGGCTCGCCTGCGGTCCTGTGATAAGCGAACCTCTCACTCCAAAAATCTTTTTCAGAGGGGTCATATCTAGTATACTGGCTTCGACGACCTACTTGCATGAATCAAACGTGAGCACGATGCACTATATCTATACCATCTTTGCTCCTTTGAGAATTCTAGACTCATTCTCCAACAGTGTTCTTTTAATATGGTATCAACTTTTCACAAGTTGCAAAGTGACATGAGGGAGCATCTTTACTACCCTCACAGTTTCTGTGATACCACGGCTTGTCAGCCTGATCACCGTTTTTGATAGAACTGTTTGTGCAGACATTCATTCACGCGTTGGGTTTCTGCTGAAATTTGCTGTCTGACACTATGGCAACTGTAAGCTAACCCAGCAGTTCTACACGCCTAACTTGATGGCGCGTTCTTGCGGTCGAGGTCAGTCACGATGTTGGGTTTCTGCTGAATCGACAAACTGATGCGTTCGTGACAGATTCATGTAACCTTATTCCCATAGTTCTTGTGTCCCAGAGATGGGAAAAAACGTGCTATGGCTCGGGGGTCAGTGCGTTCAGAGGAACCGAGCTAGTGAGTTGATTCAGGTGACAAATTCTTTCAAGGATAATCGATTTAGCGTGTGTTTGTTTGGTATGAGATGTAACAGGCGCTTACCAAGCGCAGAAGCTCATGTTTTTAGAAAGTTTTTCTCCACTGGTATTTCTGTTATCGTCTGTTTCGTCCACCCCGAGAAGCCCACCGTCCAAATGTTCTACTACCTTCCTGTTTCCAGCATTATCAGGAAACACGGCCCCCATCAATCCGGATTGGCGTGATGCAACCCACGTATCCGAACCCTCAGATACTTCTTAGTAAGTGGACTTGTTTTCTCTGGATTCGTAAGAAAATCGTTCACTCTCACCGACGCAAGTTTTCGCGGTTGTGATCATAGTCGAGCAGGTCATATCGCAAATATCGGTTGATATCGAATGTCAAAATGACTATTCGTTTGGACTAGAAGGAAGTGCGAAAGGTGCTTTCCGCATTGAAATCACACGGGGAACCCTGATCAACGGGAAGGCTGTCAAACAGCTTCAGTGTGGCATTAGAGACTTTTTAACTTCGTTAAATTAGAATTTGTGTGTATCACGTGATCTTCCAATTGTTGTTCAGCATTGATTATCATCCCAAGTGATATCAAATCACCATTTTGGTTTCATCCGTGTGCGTGTTCCCCCCATGCTGTAGTTATGTTAGATCATTGTGCACTCTGCCAAGATCAGCTGTTGAAACAGGATACCAGCTTTAGTGAGCTACATTCAATTGCAAACCGATTTGGTTTTGATGGGAGACTCACCTGGAACCCAGTTGAATCTCTCGTTTATGATGTTTTTAAGCAACTGAACGTGATGCACCAAGCCGCGTCGTGTTTCAGTTGGTACGCTATTCGAGATATCGCGTAATGTCGAGACGTGATACGCTATTCAAGTAGTTTTCAGCAACCTTCTGAATAGTATATTACGCCTACATAAGATAACAGCCTCTTAAGCATCTTTGTGACGACGAATCTACATGAACGTATTCATCGGTTTCCTCATTCTGACTGTTACCTGATAGACTCAAATTCTGTTGCTCTTTGTTGGTTTGAATTTGTCCTTGGGGCCATAAACTAACCAGTTGGTTTCACGCAGCACTATACAGAAACCAACGGATCGTCATGTGAGCTAATGAGCGTGGTTTTTATCACGCTACGGACAGGCTGGAAGATATTCGTGAAAATTAACGGAGCTCACAAGCTTCCTTCAGTCATCACTGAGGAGCACTGTGAAACATCGATTTGTACTTGAAGTTTCACTGGAATCGTTCTGGAAACCACGCTCCGTTCTAGGTCACCGGGACTCCTCTGGCTGGATTCGGTTGCCAGTTCAACTCACTCCTGATTCTTGTGAACAGATTTGGGTCAGCTTAGGTTTTACCCCGACACACATTGTCTCACCCTTTTATTTCACCGATGGCCTCAATTTTGAATGACCACTGTCGTTTCTAACGGAACGTCTATTTCGGTGCCAAACTTCTGAGGAATCTGACTTTTCACTTCTTCCACAGTACCCAGCCAACCCCTGGTGACCAGGCCGTTCATCCGAACCAGGTACGATTCGATCATGTTTTGATGTTTATTTTCTGATTTAAAATCTCACCGTCTCTTTGGTCCGCGCATATTCAAACAACCTCGCCCCATTGCTCGTTAGATCCTGCTTTCCGAAGCTTACTTGGCTCGTCCCGTGTATCCACGGGAGAAACAAATTTCATGTTGGAACAGCCGCTCATTAACCGTTTTAGTGACACCTTCGGGACAATCCCACTGCATGTCACTCTCCTACTTGGGTTGCCTGCAGGACTTGCGGGAATAAGGTGGTAACAGCCTGACAAATCACACCCCCCCTATGTGTACTCTGAGCGTGGGTGCGTGCCATATGTGTCTGTTCATTGAACCCACAGTGTTCCAGTGGCTGAGGGTATATATATATATATATATATATATATATATGTATAGTAGGATATCGTTCGGCTGCAACACTCTTCCGGTGCCTAGCTGCCATGCCACCCGAAGGAAGCAGGAGGGCTGGGATACTACCAGGTTACCCAAGCCTAGACAGGGGAAGTCGAGAGGC